TATTCATATTGAAGTGGGTCGAAAACTATTATGCACCGGTCATTATTCCTAAACTACGTAAAAAAGGCCAAATAAACTTCCCGATCGGGAAGGATTTTGACGTTTAATTGCTGCCTGATCGGGAAGCCTTGAAGGGGATTCCCCTTGTTTCCCGATCAGGAAGTATGCACGACTGATATGGTACATGTGGAAAAGGAAGACTATGTTTGAAGATCTTTGATAAAGAATATGTACATGTATAATGGTCGTCTATGATGTTAGGTGAGAATGTTTAAATGTTTTGATTATCACATAAATATAATCAATTAATTAAAAAAGATATGCATAAATAATACAAACCACTGTCCAAATCATATTCATCCTGATTCGTCATATACTGAAGGACCACTTTTAAAATTTAAGTCCACTAAAAATATCCTCTGCTTTCAAGTCATTATCATCGCGAAATGTGTTCTTTTTAAACATGTTAAAATACTGTATTTTCAACTAAACAATAACTAAAGCATTAAGTTACTTTATTTTAGTATTGTGTACATATTTCAGTGACGAATGAAAAGTCGGTAACCAGGAAATCAAATAAAACGATATATTTGGAAAACAAGTAAACTCATACTTGAGGAACTCCTAAGAGGTTTAAATGCCTAAAAATATAAAATATGAAATTCTTACATAGATAAACTGCGGCACTTAAAACAGAATGATATGCAAATAATCATTTAAAGTCTATGATGGCTTATTTGTGCCATTCGTGATTAATTTCATCCCGCAAGTTAAATAAATAAAACTTCGCCCCGGGGGGGGGGGGGGGCGAGCGAGATTTAAGAAATCAAACAGTGGGGAAACAGTGAGAAAACATGCTATTTGTGAGGAATTCAATAATCGTGTTTTCGCAACGCGTCCCGCCGTTTTATTTCTTAAATCTCGCTCCGCGCCCCGCAGGGCGAACTGTTATTTATTAACTTAGCCCCGCGCTTCTCGCTAATTAGATTGTTTTCGCTCCGCGCTCCCACCATTTTAACTTGTTAATTCTCGACATTTCGCTTTGCGAGGTCACGGAGCGAAATACACAAATAAGCTGGGCAAAGTTTTATTGATTAAAATTCGTCACGCGTCCCCGCTAAGTGTGTTTTCGCTCCGTGCTCCGCCGTTTTATTTCTTAAATCTCGTTCCGCGCCACCGCGGGGCTAAGTTTTATCTATTAAACTTCGCCCACATCCTCCCTAATTATTTGTTTTCGCTACGCGCCCCCGCCATTTTAAATTGCTAATTCGCGACTTTTCGCTTGGCGGGCGAAAACACGAATGGCACAAATCAGAGACATAATTTGATAATCGTATTTTGCTGATTTGAGTGTGTTATTTTGTCTCGAAAATTATGAATAAGATTCCTATGTAGTTGATAGGTTTTTAAGCGCGACACTTCTCCGTGAATTTTTTTCCTTGCATCAAGTTTTAAATTTATTGCGTAAATATTCTTCAAGATCTTTCCGGGACAAAAATTAAGCATGAAAAAAAAATACAAATGCATTTACTCTAAAATTATGCAAATGCAATTTTAGTTCATGGATACGATGGACGGTAATGGAATGTGCAAGTTACCATCCACGCCCTCTAGCACCGGCTAAAGCAGTATTCAACATATAACATGACCTGGTAAAATTTGGAATTTTGAAACATCCGCATATGTATTCATATCGCTGTTATCATGGAACCTTCAACGTGATCTATCGCATTCCACGAAAAGCGACATATGGTCCCCCCCCCCCCCCCCAAAGTAAAAAAAATGTGTTTGCCCTAAACGAGAATCCGATGGACGGAACTAAATAAAATGGAATTTTGAGAGACGGAGGTTATTAAGCATATCACAGATAGTACGTCAAAAGACACATTTAAAAATAATAAATAAAACTTGCTATGCCTGCGAATAACTGACAGAGAGATACCCTTTACACATTATTGTAACTGTTAACTGTATTTTCAAAATTGTTCATGCTTTCAGCAAATTCATCCATTCAATATTAAGATATATCCCAATGTTTTTTGTTTTTTTTTTTCAAATGATATACTAATATGATTATAGTATCTCCAATAAATGCCCCGATTGATTTGTAGACAAAATTACATAACAGATGTCATCGTGAGAAAAATTACTAGAACTCCGCGAGTCGGATGTGTCGCCTTGTGAACAATAGTTTAGGAGAAATGGCCAGGACAAAAATGAAATATGAAAACTAACAAAGGGCAATAACTCAAAAAATTATAGGTGCAGAGCAGCAGTTTTATTTCTGTGCACTGCACTTCTTATCAATAAGATCAATCATTGTATGAAGTTTCAAGTTCATAGCTTTCATACTTGAGGAGAAAAGGCCTTGACAAAAATAAAGTATGAAAATTAACAAAGGGCAATAACTCAAAAATAAGAAATGTGGAGTTCCGGTTCTTGTGCACTGCACTTCTTCTAAAAGAGATCTATCATCCTATGAAGTTTCAACTCCATAGCTTTTATACAGTAGGAAAAATGGCCCGGACAAAAATAAAGTATGAAAATTAACAAAGGGAAATAACTCAAAAATTAGAAAGTGCAGAGTATCAGTTCTTATGCACTGCACTTCTTCTTGATGAGATCTATCTTTCTATGAAGTTTCAAGTCCATAGCTTTATAGTTGAAGAGAAATGGCCTGGACAAAATTAAAGTATGAAATTTTACAAAGGGCAATAACTCAACAAGAGGGCCATAATGGCCCTGAGGTTGCTCACCTGTATATAAGCCCTCCCCAGCCAACCACCCCCCCCCCCCCCCCGGTCAGAGCCAATTTTAACCCAAGGGCTTTTATTTGAACAAACTTGGTTGACACCCATAAGATGTTTCATGCTAAACATCTAAGTTCTAGCTCATTGGGTTTTTTAAAAGAAGATTTTTTAAGTTTCTACTATACACATATAGTTAAAAACAATGACACCCCTAGGGCGGGGCCAGTTTTGACCCCAGGGCTTTTATTTGAACAAACTTTGTAGATATTTACTAGAAGATGTTTCATGCTTAATATCTAAACTCTAGCTATTTGGGTTTTTTCAAAGAAGACTTCTAAGTTTTTGCTATACACATATAAGGAAAATCAATGACCCCCGGGGCGGGGCCAATATTTGACCCCAGTGCTTTTATTTGATCAAACTTTGTAGACACTCACTAGAAGATGTTTCATGCTTAATATCTAAACTCTAGCTCATTGGGTTTTTTAAAAGAAGATTTTTTAAGTTTTTACTATACCCATATAGTTAAAAACAATGACACCCCTGGGTAGGGGCCAGTTTTGACCACAGGGCTTTTATTTGAACAAACTTACTAGATATTTACTAGAAGATGTTTCATGCTTAATATCTAAACTCTAGCTATTTGGTTTTTTCAAAGAAGATTTCTAAGTTTTTGCTATACACATATAGTTAAAAACAATGACCCCCGGGGCAGGGCCAATTTTGACCCCAGGGCTTTTATTTGAACAAACTTTGTAGACACTTACTAGAAGATGTTTCATGCTAAATACCTAAACTCTAGCTATTTGGGTTTTTTAAAAGAAGATTTTTTAAGTTTTTACTATATGGTTATAGGGTAAATCAACGACCCCCTGGGGCAGGGCCAATTTTGACCCCAGAGCTTTTATTTGAACAAACTTGGTAGACACTCATTAGAAGATGTTTCATGCTAAATATCTTAGCTCTAGCTCTTTGGGTTCTTTAAAAGAAGATTTTTAAGTTTTTACTATATGCATATAGGGAAAACAATGACCCCCTGGGGCGGGGCCAATTAAGACCCAGGGCTTTTACTTGAACAAACTTGGTAGACACTCACTAGAAGATGTTTCATGCTAAATATCTAAGCTCTAGCTCTTAGGGTTGTTTAAAAGAAGATATTTAAAGATTTTTCTTTTGGTTGCCATGGCAACCTGAGTTCTGCATGGAAATAAATTCTTTGAAATTTTTTTAAAGGTGACCACCAAAGGAACATTCCTGTAAAGTTTGGATGAAATTGGCTTAGTGGTTTATGGGGAGATGTCATTTAAAGCAAAAGTTTACGGACGATGGACGGAAAGCGATCACAAAAGCTCACCCTGTCACTTTGTGACAGGTGAGCTAAAAATAAAGAAGTGCAGAGTACCGGTCCTTGTGCACTGCACTTCGGGTTATTGAAAGAAGCATGCATACCAAGTTTGAAGTCAATCCGACTTATATTGACTGAGATAAGGCGACACAAAAAGCACAACTTATTTAGATCTTGTTCATTTTTGTTTGTTTGTTTGTTTCATTTTACGCCTTTTTCCAACAGTATTTCATATAGGCGGGTAGTTTCCTAACCATCGTTCCTGGACAGTTACACCAGTACTAGACTACCTTCCTCCGCACTAAACTACCAAAGCATCTCCCGGGGATAGAACCCACGCCAGAGAGGTAACTGGATTAGAAGTCATCGACTCTAACCCCTCGACCACGGAGGCGGCCATTCAACAGCTTCACTGGCTAAGGCATCACGCTTTTTGTAATTGGCCAAGATCATGTAGTTTGTATTGACAAGTGTGTAAATTATGAAGCCAATTGTATATGCTGAAGTTTAAATATACATGTATATCCAACTTGCCCAAGCAAGTTAACAATACTTTATTTCAAAATGCTAGAAAGGAAAATAACTGGGAGAAAATGGAAGCCATGGAGTTTACAAAGGTAAGTGTTAATTTGACCAGACAGCCATCGGTACAAGAAGGACTAGCCAACCTTGTATGGACAAAATTTGGGGGTTATTTTGTTCTATTGATAACCAGAGGACTATGGCCCATAACCCTATTGTTACAGAATGCATTTTTGTTTTGTAACAAATACAAGTTCCCTGATGCTAAGCTACTTACTCAGATAAACAAATAGTCCAATGACTATTTCCAAGGTGCTTAAAAATCGTTCAATGTAAGGCAAAATTTTATCACCCCCAAAATACTATAAAACAAGTATTCTCTCATCTGTTTTATTAAAATAGTTACAAAGTTCCCTGATAAAGTAAGCACACAGAGTGTGTAATGAATACAAATGCATGGACGTTATACACATATACATCCATAAACATGGTATGATTACTAAAACGCATAAACTCATAATAACATGATTGCATAAACATGTAAAATATGAATACATGAACACACACACAGAATGTTATGTAATAAAAAGAACACATAATAAGTAAAAATTTGCATGAACACATAAAGAATGCAAGTGCTTGAGCACATAATAACAGAATTACTGGCTCTATGCATGGACACATACGTTTGTGAGATACTGTTTTTTATATTGAAATTCCAAAACAAATGCATACCATCATAAAATAACATTTTTTTATGAACATCACATTCACTTGCAAGTTATTACAGTTATAAACACATAAAACAGTTCTCTCCTCTATATATACACAGTACAAGAAGGCATAATTAAGATCGCAAAACAAAATGCTGTATGGTAAAATTTCATAACATTGAAAATCTGATTAGTGTTCTTGGATAACTGAACAATATATACCAGTATTTTGCAATTGACCAACTACTAATGTAACATGATTTCTGCACCAGCAGTGAGAGATAAATAACAACAGTTAAACTCAATGTCCATTTAAAAGACCAGCTGAAACTAGTGACAGGATGTTGTCAGAAATACTATCAAACCAAAAAATCTCAACAATATGCACCGATAACAATAATAATATACACATGTATATCATTTTGTAAGATCAAAAGCACTACATTTAACACTGAATATGTGCCTAACTAGCTTGTTTTTAAATTGACTATTTTACTCATGTTTTAAGATTTTCATTTCTTTTGTCATAACAACCAAACTTCGGCCTATAGCAGATCTTTGTCTGTTGGGTTTTAAGTCAGACAGACACTGCAACGGTCAAACAACAACCTTCCAGCTTTACTGGTGGAGAGACTGACCTCAAGTGTCCTTTCCTTGCATTGTTGAAAGCATGAAATGAATGGCACCCCAGTATAATAACCCACCTAAAGTAGATCTAGAGGATGATGTAAATAATTCTTTTGATAAAATCATACAGGAAAATTTATGCACGATGAAGAAAAAAGTTCTAAATATTCTGTATTTTGTGATTTGTTTATTGTTTTCAACAGGAAAAAGGTTGTTTCTAAATAAATCTTTACTCCAGGAAATCTTTTACCCGTATTTACAAGACTTTACAGATAATGACAGAATTAAAAGAAGCAGCACTTTGTATGTATACAGCATGTCTAAAAGGTAGCATAATCTATACTGATAAACAACCTACCCGATGTTTATTTTTACTGTTAATGTATTTATGTAATGTGCCAAGTAAAGATATATGACAATCAACTTAATGATACAAAATTGGCTGCCTTAACATGCACGGGTATTAGAACAGATCTCTACTCTTAACAAAACAGGAGTGTGTCAGTCTGAAAATCGTCCAGCAAAACTGAACAGTCCATTCTCTTGAAACACCTCACATGAAATCAACATCCTCTTCGCCTTTTAACTTTTCAATCAATATCACATCACATGACCTTGCTTGCTTATTTTCGTTTCTCTTTTTTATTTTCCTCTTTTGTTTTAGTCTTGATTTTCTTTTTTAACTCGTCTACATCCTCTTCTGTTTTCTTCTTCTTCTGTTGCCGTGCAGGTGGCCTTGACCTTTGATTTGACCTTGCTGGTCCTGAGGCCAAGTTCTGTGAGCCTGAATAACTAGCACTGTTTATCATCCCTTCAGTAAGTAATGATTGTTTCCTAGAAATCTCCTGTTTTCTGTTCCACAAAAGAATATGAAACCCTGAAAACATTAAGAAAAGATGACATGTGCAAAAATGAATAAATATTATAACAGAATATACTGAATACTTACCAACAAAATCATGTAAGAACTATTGTAAAAGAGGATACCAACAAGAGGGCCCATAATGGCGCTGGAATGCTCACCTGAGATATACTGCTAGAAAAAAAACTAGATGAGAAGTTGAACATGAAGTTGCATCAATCAAGTATAGTGTTATGCTTATGCAGGTGGACAGAAGAAAAAGGTTATCCCCTACTTTTATCTGTATAGTCATGCTAAAACTGCCTTCAATGGTAATGCAAAGCAAGCTTTTACCAAGATTTTTTCATATGACAAAGCTTCAAGTCTATAAAACTCTGAGCTTGAGTTATGCTACTTAAAATAGTGACCTACTATTATGATCTTAAAAATATGCATGTAGTTCCAAGTGAATGGTTTTTCTACTTTTTCTTTGTAACTAACTTCTATGGTTATGCAAAGCTAGCTTTTACCCTACAAGTCTGTAAAACTCCGAGCTAGAGCTACAAGTCTGTAAAACTCCAAGCTAGAGTTATGCATGTTAAACAGTGACCTACTATTATGATCTTAAAGATATGCATGTAGTCCCAAGTAGTGAATGGCTACAGAGATTCTTGTAATATGGATGCAAACCTCTAACCTAACCTTACACCAGAGCACAGTACTGGATGAGTTGCCCCCCTATTCTTTGAATACTCGAGTTAAAAGTTACACAAACAACAATAACCAACAGAAAGTGGGAAATCACATTATTTGGAATACAGTTTTGCTTACAACATGACCAAGGCTATATATCATTTGGCACATGTATGACAATTAAACAAGTGTTTAAAACAGGCTATTTTCTCTTTTTAGAACATCAGAAACACAGTCTTTCTATTCACACAGGTATCTAATTATGGTTTTGATTTACTTAAATTCACTATCATTGTAATAGACTGTTCTCGTGATACAGAGTAGGACTACATGTGCAGTTGTCTAAAAGGTATCTTAAACAGTGTTAAGTGTTCTTAGTCAAGTCATCTCTAGTTTGACTAGTCAGTTATTTCTAAGTGTGAAGAACCAACACACCAGTTGACATGGCCGGTTAAACTTGACTATTTTTAATTTAAAAATAGAAAACACTTACCCATGCCAGAAGCCAAAGCATCACCTTGGGTGTTGAACTTGTTTATCTAAAAGTAGAAAACACCACATTTATGTACTAAATAAACAAAACAACATTTGGTATTTATTAAGAGAAGAAAAGCTAAATTATTTTTTTAATACTCCCAGAAGCTATGATATATAGAATAAAAACAAAATTGATTCAGCATAGTTTAATAAGACTTCTTTGATATAAAGTTAGTTTCTAAATTGTGTTGACTGAATTTTATAATATTGTAAACAAGATCCTTTTATATCTTATTTTTCATGAACAATATAACAATCAAATGTGGGTTATACAAGGATCCATTCTTATATAATAAATAAAAATCTTGCTTGGACCTTTTTTTCAAGTAAATGTACTAGTCTTTTCCCTAAAGATCCATCAATAAAGAATGCGAGTTAATGTACTTCTTAACATGTAAATGAGGTAGCTGTGGACAAATGGTTTAGATACCTGCCTCATAACTCCAAGATTTTGTGTTTGAGCACTACTTACTAGGGCACCACCATGTTTCCCTATATACATATCAATTCTGTAGTTCATGGCAGCTGACTCAAGAATAGTTCAAATATCCTTGAACATTTTATCACAATCATGCATAAATAAATGTTTTTATATATGTAACACTTTCCAGGATTAATAATAGTTATAGAATATAGTCAAAAACAAACTTTGACATAAAATAAAGCTAAAATAGACTGTACTTACTGGACACAAACCATCTGTTCCTTGGCTGTAAAGTTGTGATACAATTTTACCCGTGTCTGCGTCGAAGATGTCTAAAGTTCGTAACTCAAAACCTGTACTACCTTCAACATTTTTATCTGGATATCGTCCACATACTATCAAGTCCTGCAGGGGATGCCAGGTTGCCTGAAATATGATCGGGAATAATTCATAAATAATCCTGCTCTTGTATAAGAAGTTCAGTGCACCATATATAAAGTTATAACAAAAAGTTTTATTTTTTGATGAATGATATAACATGCTTCTAAAATCAAAGCTATTGGGCCATGAGAAAAAGACATGGCTATTCCAAAAATATCGCTTAAACCAATTACATCTTTGTTTTTCCCAGATCAGAATTTAAACTGCTTACTATTACCAAAAGTAGTCATGAAATATAAAATATTTCATTTCATTGGTACTTTAAGGCTGTAGAAATTACACTAAACTACCCATTATACTTTTGTATGTTTTAATAAGGATAGACTTTTGGCATCCTTGTAAATCTAATATGTCCACCTTGTAAATGTGCAAAACAGCTTTTGACCAACCTCAAAATTTGATAGGCCATTTATCAACAGGCCATTTATCAACTTCATAATTTTTCAATGGGAAGGCTTTGTCCCAGAAACCTTTTATCTGTCTCCCAAAGCAATGAAGATACTTATTGCTGTAAACTTAATTTATTTATTGCTACAACTAAATTTAAGTTGACATACTTGGCCAAACAGATTGTGGATGTGACGAAGAACACAAGTATAGCTCATCCCCCATCCCCCTTGTGCATGTAGTTTAATTATACAAATACCTTAAAAGGACTGATATGCTGGAAGAATCTATGTGGATGTTCAATGGTCGTCTCCAGGTGCCAGAATGGTGCCCTGTATACACGTATCTGTTTACTTTGATCAGTTGTGAGCAGACGGCTACCATCAGTGTGATTGAAATATGCTGTAAGTAGACAAATATAACTAGCATTAATCCTCAACCTGTTCGAACCATTACTGATCAGTATAGGGCCAGGCTCTACAGTTAGCTAAGTAATTCAACATCTCTCAAATTGAAAAAGGACAGTTCTAAAATGGTATGTGCAAAGACTAAAGTGACCTTGATCTTTGACCTCAAAATCAATAGGGTTCATCAACTAGTCATAATCAACCTAGGAATGTTGCATAATAAGTGTACTGAGAATAAGAGACAAGAGGGCCATCATGGCCCTGAGGTCGCTCACCTGTATATAGCCCCCCCCCCCCCGGGCCAATTTTTACCCAAGGGCTTTTATTTGAACAGACTTGGTACTGGCACCCATAAGAAGATGTTTCATGCTAAACATCTAAGTTCTAGCTCATTGGGTTTTTTAAAAGAAGATTTTTTTAAGTTTTTACTATACACATATAGTTAAAAACAATGACACCCGTGGGGCAGGGCCAGTGTTGACCCCAGGGCTTTTATTTGAACACACTTTGTAGATATTTACTTAAAGATGTTTCATGCTTAATATCTAAACTCTAGCTATTTGGGTTTTTTCAAAGAAGTTTTTGCTATACACATATAAGGAAAATCAATGACCCCCCGGGGCGGGGCCAGTTTTGACCCCAGGGCTTTTATTTGCACAAACTTTGTAGACACCCATTTGAACATGTTTCATGCTAAATATCTTAGCTCTAGCTCTTTGAGTTCTTTAAAAGAAGATTTTTTTAAGTTTTTACTATATGCATATAGGGAAAATCAATGACCCCCGGGGCGGGGCCAATTTTGACCCCAGGGCTTTTATTTGAACAAACTTGGTAGACACTCATTAGAAGATGTTTCATGCTAAATATCGTAGCTCAACCTCTTTGGGTTCTTTAAAAGAAGATTTTTTTTTAAGTTTTTACTATATGCATATAGGGAAAATCAATGACCCCCTGGGGCAGGCCAATTTTGTCCACAGGGCTTTTATTTGAACAAACTTGGTAGACATTCACTAGAAGATGTTTCATGCCAAATATCTAAGCTCTAGTTCTTATGGTTCTTTAAAAGAAGATTTTTTAAGTTTTTACTATATGCATATAGGGAAAATCAATGACCCCCGGGCTTTTATTTGAACAAACATGGTAGACACTCACTAGAAGATGTTTCATGCCAAATATCTTAGCTCTAGCTCTTTGGGTTCTTTAAAAGAAGAATTTTTAAGTTTTTACTATATGCATATAGGGAAAATCTATGACCCCCTGGGGCAGGGCCAATTTTGACCTCAGGGCTTTTATTTGAACAAACTTGGTAGACACTCATTAGAAGATGTTTCATGCTAAATATCTAAGCTCTAGCTCTTTGGGTTCTTTAAAAGAAGATTTTTTATGTTTTTACTATATGCATATAGGGAAAATCAATGACCCCCGGAGCGGGGCCAATTTTGACCCCCAGGGCTTTTATTTGAACAAACTTGGTAGACACTCACTAGAAAATGTTTCATGCCAAATATCTTAGCTCTAGCTCTTTGGGTTCTTTAAAAGAAGATTTTTTTAAGTTTTTACTATATGCATATAGGGAAAATCTATGACCCCCTGGGGCAGGGCCAATTTTGACCCCAGGGCTTTTATTTGAACAAACTTGGTAGACACTCACTAGAAGATGTTTCATGCCAAATATCTAAGCTCTAGCTCTTAGGGTTGTTTAAAAGAAGATATTTAAAGATTTTTCTTTTGGTTGCCATGGCAACCAGAGTTCTGCATGGAATTAAATTCTTTGAACAATTTTTAAAGGTGACCACCAAAGGAACATTCCTGTGAAGTTTGGATGAAATTGGCTCAGTGGTTTATGAGGAGATGTCATTTAAAGCAAAAGTTTACGGACGGACGCCGGACGAAAAGCGATCACAAAAGCTCACCCTGTCACTTTGTGACAGGTGAGCTAAAAATATTCAGTTTTTATCTTGATTAATAGAATAAGGGAAGCTGAAGAATACTAGAAATGACAGGTTTATCGTGATTTAATATCTGTAGAGAGGAGGAAAGAAGCTATTCACCAGAATTTACAGGTTTAGCCTGGTGTAGAATGTGAAAGGTATTCACCAGAATTGACAGGTTTATCATGATGTAGTATCTGTAGAGAGAAGGAAAGAAGCTATTCACCAGAATTGACAGGTTTATCATGATGTAGTATGTGAAAGAAGCTATTCACCAGAATTGACAGGTTTATCATGATGTAGTATGTGAAAGAAGCTATTCACCAGAATTGACTGGTTTATCATGATGTAGTATGTGAAAGAAGCTATTCACCAGAATTGACTGGTTTATCATGATGTAGTATGTGAAAGAAGTCCAATCTCAACTACTCGGTCGGCCCTTTCCATCAGTCTTCAGATAAGGACCTCGAACACAATAGTAAGAATACACAGAACGGATGCGGTATTTCGGTCTAACCTACATGTACGCTAAGAAACTTAACATGTAAACAAATAGTAATTTAATGCTGGGAGTTGTTGACAAGTTTATTTCCAATATATGTAGTAAAAGTCCACCAAACATAAGTGAATTCATAGCTACAAAAGCAAACAATACATTATATATATATTTATTATTATGGTTGTAGAAACCGGAAGTACAAACAAGAGCTGTCCGTAAGACAGCGTGCTCGACTTTTTTATTGCTTGCCAATAAAAAAAGTTTTTGCAGTAAAAGGCAATACAAGAATCTCTGTATTTTTAAAGTGAACTAGTTGTTTGATACCCTTGAATATTACAGCAATGTTTATATGACATAATTTATGGTAAAGTGAACAAGTGGATAGGAATGAATTTTTTTAGATTTTTTAAGTTTTTTAGTGCTTGCCTATAATACAAAACATTGACAGTTAAGGGCCATAATTCAAATAAAATCTTTGACAGAATTACCTTCTCCTGGACATGTTTGGGAATCATGATTGTAAACAAGTATTCCAACTTTCAAATTAATATCTCAAACAGTTCAGTCAAAAAGTGGACTGGTACTAAAAACTTAACCAAGATTCTAAGTCGATAAAAGGCCTTAATTTTTAAAACAAATCCTTGACAGAGTTACCTTCTCTTGCGTACAGATGGGGGTAATGATGTGAAATAGCATTAAAAGTTTCAAAGCAATATCTCAAAGGGTTAAGGCAATAAGTGGATTTTACCCATATTCAATGTATTTTCTAAGTCAAAAAGGGGCATAATTCTGTCAAAAAACCTTGACAGAGTTATGTCCTCTTGTCTGTTGATGAAGGTCGTGATGGTAAACAAGTATGGTCAGTTTCAAAGCAATACCTCCAATGGTTTTGAAATAAAGTGAGGTGGTACAAAAACTTAACCAAGCTCAATACACTTTCTAAGTCAAAAAAGGGCCATAATTCTGTCAAAAACCTTGACAGAGTTATGTACTCTTGTCTGTAGATGGAGGTTATGATGGTGAACAAGTATGGTAAGTTTCAAAGCCATACTTGTAATACTTCTGAAATAAAGTGGGGTGGTACGAAAAACTTAACCAAGGTGTGACGCCAACGCCGACGCCGGGGCGAGTAGGATAGCTCCCCTTTTCATAGAAAAGTCGAGCTAAAAACCAACCTGTTGACATTTAGTCGGATTTGTTTGAAGTTGAACATCAGTGGGCATATTTAAATTACAAATTGTTGTCAGACATATTTTCAAGCATAAGAGTACCGGAACATACATTAGATGTCAAATATATACATTCGTTTTACATTATCTCTGTTTCTGATTATATCTGAAACCACGTGGTAGAATACTTTCAATCTGTATTGTTTCCGAGGTTATTATAGATAATAGTTCTATGAGGTTCCGAATGAGGTTTATCATGATGTAGTATGTGAAAGAAGCTATTCACCAGAATTGACAGGTTTATCATGATGTAGTATCTGTAGAGAGCTCTTCCTGTCCTTCATGTACCTCACGTCCCACATCTGTACTGTCTGATCTGTTGAAGCTGTACACAGCAGCCATTCTTCTCGTGGAGAAAACTCTACATGTGTAATCTTGTTCTTGTGTAGACGGTATTCAAACACCTGTTTTCATAAATATAATAAAACATTTCATTTTATATAAATTAATAAAAGTTTCAGGCAATCTATGTTCCAGGGGAGACTAATGTTATTAACTAAACAAGAAATCTTTGTGAAATATATGGCAATAAATTATTCATATAAACAACAAAAAACAAATCTAAAGAATGTAGGCGAACTTTTATGGTGAAGATCAAACTGACCATAGTAACAAGACCTGGTCAACAGACAGTGTCCCGTCATTAAAGATTCACAAAACAATTTATCCCTGTTTCTTCAAAGATGCAGGGAAGGGCCCTGATTAAGACAATCATTCACCAAAAAAAAATTAGTTTTATCACCTTTTTATCTTATTAACATAGGTTCTAATTATGTTAAATTTATTTCTTTAATGTAGCTTGTTTTTGTTGAGGTAAAATGTAGCACATTACACATGTAATAAGTTAAAGCAGCATGCCTCCAGATTCAGGCTACTTTCCATAAAAAAATTGGAATGTATTTAACAGTAAAATACTGTAAAATGGACAAAGAAAATAATTTAATAATTGCAAACAGCATTTAAGATTCAAGTAAATTACCCCAAAAAAGTCAAAATATGCCAAAATATCCCTTACTGAGGGAGAGCGTTCCTCACTCAGTAGAAATAATCAAATATGGTGATAAAATACTACTAAATCAGTCAGTATGTAAATCTTGTATGTTTGTACTTTTCTTAAAATGTAAGAACTTTTTTTATTATATTTTGCCTCATATTTTGCCTCATATGGAGACATGCAGTTTTAAAGCAAACAATCTTTACTGGCCTTACTCTTTTCTGTAAATTTTACCTTGATAAGGTTACTTTCTGTAGCTTAAATTCTTTCTGGCTGGTACTTATTGAACAAATGACTGTACATCTTTCAAACATAACAAAATGGCTTGACAAAAATGTCACGATATTAGAGATAAAGATAACATACCTTTCTACCTTCAGTGGACATCATATGTAATATACCTCCATTTCTGCCAGCAACAACAAGGTATCTCTCTCGATTCACATCTAGACTACAGTACCAGTGACTAGAAAATTAATGTCATATAAATAATAACATCATTGCTTGCTTTGCAATACAATTCTAAAGCACAAGAGGATTTCTCTCCACTGAATAAAGTAAGTTTTTTGTAAATGTTTTGCTTTATATCAAATATTAAGTATAAAGACATCATTTGTATAAAAAGTATAACTAGTAAAGTTGTATAATGTAAAAGAACAGTGCAATCTATTATCACATTGTTTCTACAGACTTAGTGTTTTCCTTGCACTGAGTTTTTATGACTTTGTAAAAATTGGTGCAGCACAGAAGTGCATTTTTTTATATGATGTCATTTGCTTTATACACACAAAGTCAAAAAGTGGGCTAAATGTTACCGTTAAACTATAAAGGTATGTCAACATCTTTTTTTTTTTGGTATGTGATAAAAAGAGTATTATATTCACATATGTTCATTACTAAATTTATTGAACATTTTAAATACAACAGGGCCATGATGGACCTGAGGTCACTCACCTGTATATTTGTTTATTTGAACAATCTTTGTAGACACTTACTAGAAGATGTTTAATGCTTAATATCTAAACTCTAGCTATTTGGGTTTTTTAAAAGAAGATTTTTAAGTTTTTGCGATACACATATAAGGAAAATCAATGACCCCCGGGGCGGGCCAATTTTAACCCCAGGGCTTTTATTTGAACAAAGTTTGTAGACACTCACTAGAAGATGTTTCACGCTTAATATCTAAACTCTAGCTATTTGGGTTTTTTAAAAGAAGGTTTTTTAAGTTTTTGCTATACACATATAAGGAAAATCAATGACCCCTGGGGCGGGGCCAATTTTGACCCCAGGGCTTTTATTTGAACAAACTTGGTAGACACCCATTAGAACATGTTTCATGCTAAATATCTTAGCTCTAGCTCTTTGGGTTCTTTAAAAGAAGGTTTTTTAAGTTTTTACTATATGCATGAAGGGAAAATCAATGACCCCCTGGGGCAGGGCCAATTTTGACCCCAGGGCTTTTATTTGAACAAACTTGGTAGACACCTATTAGAACATGTTTGATGCTCAATATCTTAGCCATAGCTCTTTGAGTTCTTTAAAAGAAGATTTTTTAAGAAGATGTTTCATGCCAATTATCTAAGCTCTAGCTCTTTGGGTTCTTTAACCCTTTCGCTGTCAGAGGGTTATTGTTTTATTGTTCACCTATTTGCCAGAGGATTTTCTAAGAAATTACTAAATTATTAATTAATATAATTATTATTATTTGTTATTAGTATTATAATAATTATATACGTTTTAAATCTGTTAGTATAATAATAATTATTGTCGATGGTATAATTTTCTTTATATTTATTATTATTTTTATTATTATTATTATTTATTTATTATTATTACTATTATTATTATAGAAACGGCTAAAGCCGTCCATATGGCAAATACGCCGAAAATAACAGGGACGGCTTGAGCGGTCCCTATGGCAGTGAAAGGTTACCCCTTTCGCTGCCAGAGGGTTGTTGTTTTAATGATCACCTACATGCCAGAGGGTTTTCTAAGAAATTACTATATTATTAATTTATATAATTATTATTATTTGTTATTAGTATTATAATAATCAACATGTTTCCAAATCTGTGAGTAAAATAATAATTATTGTCGATGGTATTATTTTCTTTATATCTATTATTATTTTCATTATTATTAACTTATTATCATACTATTATTATTATAGAAACGGCTAAAGCCGTCCATATGGCAAATACGCCGAAAATAACCGGGACGGCATAAGCCGTCCCTTGCAGTGAAAGGGTTAAAAGAAGATTTTTTAAGTTTTTACTATATGCATACAGGGAAAATCAATGACCCCCTGGGGCGGGGCCAATTTTGACTCCAGGGCTTTTATTTGAACAAACTTGGTAGACACTTACTAGAAGATGTTTCATGCCAATTATCTAAGCTCTAGCTCTTAGGGTTTTTTAAAAGAAGATATTTAAAGTTTTTTCTTTCGATTGCCATGGCAACCAGAGTTCTGCATGGAATTAAATTCTTTGAACAATTTTTAAAGGTGACTACCAAAGGAACATTTCTGTGAAGTTTGGCTGAAATTGGCTTAGTGGTTTATGAGGAGATGTCATTTAAAGTAAAAGTTTACTGATGGACGGACGCCGGACGAAAAGCGATCACAAAAGCTCATCCTGTCACTTTGTGACAGGTGAGCTAAAAATAATATCATCCTCACCAGAGGCTAGCATAATAAATGATTTTATTCCTCATTATTCAATAAATTGAATATTAAACCTACACTAATTTATTATCTTATATTACTCTTTTATTGGTGGTTCAAATTAGCTACATGCTTTGTTTTTACAGTCAAGTTTCAATAAAGAATTAAAACTAAACCGTTCTTATGATTTAAAAGGAAGACTTGCGGAACATAAAAAACACAGATCACTGTCAAGTTTTATAAATTTTCTCCACATTTGCAGATCAGGTAGAGAAATATATAACATCATAGATTATTATGAGTAACCTACAATCACAGCATTTCATTTGTAAATAGTCATGTATTAGCAAGTAATATACTCACTCATAAGAATCCATCGTATCAGCCAATACAGTGCCTTGTTTTGTTTCAAAATCATGTAGAGTAACTGTCCCATTGATAGATGCACTCACCACCTTGTTCATATCCCATGGCCAGAATTTCATAGCTTGACATGAGCCTGCAGCTCCAATCTATGTACAGTACAAGAAAACATTAATAAACCTGAACACGTGTCGGAATGTAAACATTGTACAGTTTCTGTGAGTAACGTGAATAAAGTCTATAGTTTATTTCTTTAAATACTCATATTATTGTCGAAATCAATTAAATATCTGTTATACTGACAAGTTGACAACAGGGCTACACTAAAACAGTATAGGTTATTTCATTAGTGGCCAGATCAAGTGTATGATAACTGTATAATTTCTATGTATAACAATGTTAGTAAACTTTATTCAAATGTATTCAAATGAATAACCTGTAACTGCTTTAGCTCATCTAGTATATCAAACTCAAAGGCCTTTCTCAACAAAAATTTTGGAAAATAACCCAAGTACATTGGTAATGGGAATTCTCGATGGGTTAACGCAACACATCAGACTAGTAACCAATTGGACTGCTGGCAGAGTGGGTTCAAACCAAAGAAACATAACAATCATTACTTTAAGTACTGGTTGGTTTCAGAAACTGATTCTTGAATGTTTCAATAAGCTTATAGCTTCCACACAATCAAACTAAACTAAATTTTCGTACTAACTAATGAGTATTTCTTCATTTGAATCAACATAATTATTATCAAGAAATTGCAATGCAAATGTGTAAGAAATTATTTTTTAAGATACGTACACCCTGGACAAACTTGTCTTTGTGAACACTGTCTGTATCCCATAAAATAATATCACCACCTTTAGATCCAACAGCTAAAATGTTTGTTTTTGTTGGATGCCACTCCATTGCTGTCACCCTTCTATCAAAAGGGCTTGCAGTTCTGTAAAGCTCAAAGTCTTTAATAACATCTACTACTGGACTTTTTACTGCCTGAAATAAAATCTCAATATTTGTAGTAATATCAGTAATATTTGTACAGACTACGGTATATGCAGCCTTTTATTGCTTTTACTGGCAAGTAAAACGTATCAGTTAACAACAAAACCAGAAATAAAATTAAAACTATATGTACATGTATAACTAAATGGGAAAATGATTACCTCTTGCACTTGAACTCTACACTTTAACCCATAACTAAAGTTCTGTAGCACATGTATTAGATTTCTACTGGTATCTGCCTTTGGTTTGTAGTATTCCTTTTCTATTGGCTGTAATCTTTTCTGAAGTCCACATTGTGATAATTCTTTCAAAAACTTATCACAATCTAACAACTGTCTTGTCTTACAACTTTGAACTTCCGGTCCCTCACACGGAGTTCCTTTTTTATCCATTTCATCGCCTGAATCTTGGAAGCAACCATTTTTCATATCACATGTATTAAACTTCTCTTTTGAAACCAGTCTACTGTTTCTGACACTGTTTTTATTTCCCGAGGTAACATGTCTTTTTGTGCTGCTGTCAGTCTGCTTCTTTTCAGTACTTTTTATGTCATCTGCTGTTTTAGCAGAATTATTTGCTCTGGTTCTAGCTCGTTTAGCTAATAAACCTGTTTTCTCATTTTCAGCTGAATTTTCTACACAATTTCTGTTACGTAGCTGTCTTTTCCCCACCATTTTTCCTGTAAAAATAACAATTGTATGAAGAGTTGCAGCCAGAATTCCTAATTTTTTTATTCATGCCTGCATTATCTGTCAATATCAGAACACTCTTGCAAATATCATTTAAAAAAATACTTAAAGCAACATGCCTCAAGATTAACTACTATCTTTCATGAAAATTTTGAAAATGAATTTAAATGTAAAGTATTGTGAAATCAACAAAGAAATTAATTTAAACATTGCAAACGGCACTAACAATGCATGTATTTAAAATCACCAGAAAGAAGTAAAAATAACAGCATGCCCAGTCACTCACAAATGTGTGTTTTTCAAGCAGAAAATGCAACAAGAAGGCAAATTTTTCAAACGCCATGGGTGCAAGTAGGCACATTTAAATTTTAATGCTGATAAGAAATGAATGAATTGGCAAAAATATAAATATAAATCTTGTGTATTATTATAGACGTTGAAATAGGAATTTTTTTCCAAAATATACACAAATATTGTCCAAATATACTAAAAATTAATGTTTTATACAAAACTAGAAATGTGTCCATAGGACACGGGTGCCCCCACCGCGCCACTGTTCTGTCAATCTTATGACTCTATGTCAAATATTTTTTGAAAACTAAAAATCTTTTACCAAGTAAAGGGCAAGAACTTTACAAATACTGAATAAATCCACAAGCAAACCCCAAGGTGCATACAAGTGAAATACTTTTTGAGCTATGCATGAACAAGTTAAAAATTGCAAATTTATACTACCGTAAGTCAAGGGCAATAACTCTAACAAAACTGAAAAAAATCCACATGCAAAGTCCCAGGTGCATAGCTTCACAGTGATGTGAATCATTATTCCTGTAATTTAGTGATGTTGATCATTATTTCTATAAAGTTGCTTGATTTTAACTCAAGCACTCAAGGAACAAATAACAAAATAATGAAACGGTTTTTACAAAGTCAAGGGAGATAACTCTACAAATACTGGATAATCCACAAGCGAAACCCCAGGTGCAAAACTAAATATGCTGATCAACATTCCTGAAAGGTTTAATGACTATGTCAAATCCTTTTTGAGTTACATGCGACACAAGTTGAAAATTGTAAAAAAAAATTCTAAGTCAAGGGTAATAACTCTTAAAATACTAAATAAATCCAAACGAAAATACTGAGGTGCACAACTACACATGCTGATCAACATTCCTGTACAGTTTCATGACTCTAGGTCAAATACTTTTTGAGTTACATGCGACACAAGTTGAAAATTGCAAAATTTTACTAAGTCAAGGGCAATAACTCTAAAAATTCTAAAAATATCCAGACGAAAATACCCAGGTCACAACTACACATGCTGATCAAAATTCCTGTAAAGTTTCATGACTCTAGTTCAAATACTTTTTGAGTTACATGCGACACAAAAGAGAACAGACTGACGGACGTTCCAACATTTTGGCTAAGGGGCTATTTTCTTTGTTATTTTCTTTGTTTTCTTAAGGGCTACTAGCCCCTAAACCCTTTGATCACGGAATGAACCTATTGTTCTCTTTTGTTCTCTTTACAGTTATATAGCCCCTAACCCCAAAATGTTTGCTCGGACGGACGGACAAGGGTAAATCTAAATGCCCGCAAGTTTATTTTCTTACAACACTTGAACTGCCCATTTCAAGGGAATGAATGAAAGTTATAGCCACCTAAGTCATACTATGTTATAAATGTTAATTCATTTTCTCATTATAATCTGTATTTTATATAAACAAAAATCAGTCAATGCGAAAGTCAAAATTTTTTTCCAGCCACAAGGACTGGGATCCTTAGATTTATTTCCGGCCCTGATGATTTTTTTGCGGCCCGGACTCTGAAAGATATTTTTTGTAGGGGTGGGTGAGGGATTATTGCCATAATTAACAAAAATATTCAGCAAATATGAATTATCAGACTCAACTATAAGATACTATGAAGAAAAAAAATACAGAAACATAATAAATAAAACAGTTTTGCATATTTTAGGCCAAAAATTGTTTCAAACTGGCTGAAATTTTATTCGGACATGAGGACTGACTGTATCGAAATTTATCTCGGCCCTCCTGATTTTTAGTTGGCGAGGTCCGAGGACTGACAGACTTTCGCACAGACTGCAAAAATGAATATTGCTATATTTGGGTATATTTGGGCAATAATTGGGTATCTTATGCCGCCGTTGAGGCTTTGCCTTTTTCATATTAATATACAAAAATACAAACGATTTAAAAATATCCACGGTATAAAGAGTGGATCAAGAAGGGGGGACCATTAACATTACCCCAAGTGTCTGTGAGAGTCCTACTTTCATTTTCGACCCACTTACTGTATGTAAAAATTTTGGGTCCGAGTGAAACTCAAAAATGACAGAGATCAACAAGCGACTAAACAATAACTTACTCCAACAGGTTCAATACTGTAGTAAATAAATGCAAAGTTGTTTTCGTTTATAATCGTGTACAGTATAGGACAACAACCTGAAATAAATGCATGTGGGACCGTGTCTTGTTATGTAAACAGCATTTCGCGGGAATTTTGATGCATGGTGGGATATTTCATTTAGATATTAGTTTCGAATTAGCCCATATTTATTATATGTAAGCATCGTATTGATTTATATGATTATTCATACCACTATTGGTAGTCAATTTGGTACTAGTCAAACGAAATACTATTTTTACATCTGTTAGGTTATTGTGAATTCGAAACTTTTGGCCAATCTTTTCCGACCTTGACCTGTCAAAATTCTGTGGAGGTCGAACCGGCATAGCTCAGATCCAGCATCATCATGGCAAGTCAACGCAAATTTTTTGTAGGAGGTAATTGGAAAATGAATGGAACGAAGAGCAGCATAGACGGAATTGTAAAGTTTTTGAATGAAAGCTGTGTTGATGACAAAGTCGGTAAGATTGCTAGTTAAGAGTATTCGTACCAGTGATATTTCGTACTCATTTTTGGACCGATAATTTTTTTTAGATCTAATATATGTAGTGAAATTTAGATGTTTAATGAATGGCAATGGTATTCATTAATTAGTATAAATCAGAAAAAAATAGAATCTTTTTAGACAAGTAAGTACTATCATAATTATTTGAAGCCTTTGAACGGGGAAGTCGTTAAAAAAATCCTTTCATTTTTCCGTTTCAAAGGTGTCATTCGGTATTTCATGCACCGCTTCTGTTTTCACTTGGAATGCTCGACAATTATTATGTATCAGTAAAGTTGAGATTTGTTCTGTTATCAGAAAACCCTGCCTATTTTAATTGAGTTACATTGAGTAAATACAAATCAAGTTTTAGTTTCTTTAACGTCTTTATTTGATCTTTAAACTCATTTATATTATTATTGTGATTTACATGTCATTTAACATGACCCTTGATTTGAAATAAAAGTTATACTTTTCTTTGTAAATGGCGGTCAACTAGAATTGACACTGAAAATTTCATTGATAGGTATAGAATTCTATATATTTTTTAATTGTTTTTTATTTAATTTTCTTTTAAATATACACATGTAGTCTATAGCCGGGCAAGCCAAAACCCGGGCCCCTTTGCAGCCCAGACTTTGACTTCCCCCTATAATCATTCTTAATTATCTAAAACATGATTTAAATGATCAAAATTAAGAAATGATAAGATTAAAATGGATGTTTTGGTAAAAATATTCTCTATTATCTTTAAGAACAGAAATTGGTTGGGCTATAAACGATTCTCCTCAGTTCAGTGACTTTTCAGTCAAAATATATTGACGTGCCAAAGCTAGATTCTGAAATGTTTGTTGTGGGTCAGAATCTTTCTCCTATTTAATCAGGGTTGGACTGTAGTCTACAAAACCCTCTTTCAATCGTTATACATTTTACAAGCTTTTTGTAAAGTGACTGATACAAGGTTATTTGCTACCAGGATTTTCTCCTAATAATCTCTTAATTAATAGTTTCGTATGCCAGAATTTTGATGTTTTGCATTGTGTTAATTTTTTTTTTGAATTTTTTTTTTTGTGTGTGTACAGAGGTAGTTGTCGCGCCTCCAGCGATTTACCTGGACTACACCAGACAAGCTGTAAACAAGAAAATAGGAGTTGCAGCCCAGAATTGTTACAAGGTAGCATCAGGAGCCTTTACTGGAGATAACAGGTGCCTAGTTTATGATTGTTTACTGCAATTACAATCAGCAATTTTCTCACTTAATTGGAAAGAGGCCTTAGCCTCTTGATTTTGGGAAAAATTATCACTAAAATTGCTAATTTGGGAAGTAAAAAAGCAGGTTTAAAGTCCGGATTTTTGGGAAAGCTGCATGATTTAAAAGAAAACTTCAATTGGGAAGAGGCCTTTTATCAGAGAATGTTAAATAAGCAGGAAAATCACTGACGATTGATTTAATTAATTTATCAGTGTGAATAACGTTTAAGTTAGATTAACCTTGATATTAAACCAATGATGATCTGATACATGTATTTAATTTATTTAAGATAATCAAACTTCAGATAGTTTCATCAAAGTCTCTTAAGCTTCCTGGAACCAAAAGTACAAAGTAGCAGCTACATATAGGGACCACATCTATTCTGTCTGTTTGTCCATCCATCACAATACTTATGCAGACTACTTCTCAAAAACTACTGGTGCAATTTTGTTCAAACTTTACAGTAATGATCAGTACCAAAGTCTAGTTGTGCATATTATTGACATTTTTTATTATTTGTCAGAGTTATAGCCCTTCATTCAATAAAGGATAAAATTGTGATTTATATCAAAAGTATAAACAATTTCATATCTGGTAAGAAGAAAATGTTTTGACTTCTGGAATGTTTGATGATACTGGAGAATAATATGAATAAGGGCATGTGGAGTCTCATAACACATACAAAAGTCCTCACACAGCTTCATGCATTGAGAAAAACAAAAACTTGAGTCAGTTTTATCAGCAGTAACTTACAATGTGACAACTGAATGTTCACAAAGTAAAATGTCATTTATTTATTAGTTTGATTATTATAACCAAAATTATCTCTCATGTCATTTTTCAATCTTTCTTTTTTCAGTACAGCCATGATTAAAGATGTTGGATGTGAGTGGGTAATTCTTGGACACTCTGAGAGACGTAATGTGTTCGGTGAATCTGATGAGGTACATGAATATTCTATTAAGTATATTTGAGCCGCGTCACGACAAAACCAACATAGTGCGTTTGTGACCAGCATGGACCCAGACCAGCTTGCGCATCCGCGCAGTATGATCAGGATCCATGCTGTTCGCTTACCAACCCTATTACAAGTAGAGAAACTGATAGCAAACAGTAGGGCTGGGGCGAGTATCCGAGTACTCGGATAATCACGAATCAAAGTGAAAAATCGAGTTTGAATATTCGTAAGCCCAGAGATCGTAGATCGCGATTTAATCTTTTTATATACATTCACTGTTTCTCACACTCTTAAAATCGAGAAAAATACGATTTGAGTATAAATTATATGAAGTTTACCTAAAAACAATTTGCCGGTTAAAGACCATGTACCATGATGCTGAGCTAGGAAGTAATTGGTTTCAAAAAACAAAACAAAAATACTCATCCAAAGAATAAAATCATAAACCTAGTTTATATTTTATATGTTTAATGTTTAGTATATTGTTGTTGTTTTTTTTTTGTTGTTTTTTAAATAAACATGTTTTATAACTAATGTACATGTTTTTATGGGTGTCTTGATAACAAAAGATTTGTGGTTCGATTTGTGAATCGTATGTGCTGAATCGTGGTTCGGATCGGATCGTCACTTATCTGACGATCCACACCCCTAGCAAACAGCATGGACCTGATCAGGTCTGGATCCATGCTGGTCGCAAACGCACTATGTTGGTATTGTCATGACGCGGCTCATGTCTATTTGTTTCATGTTTTGACTTTGTTTGGTATATCATGTATATTTTTTTTGTCTTGAACATAATATTTTGCAAGATATTGCTGTTATGAGGTAAATGACATTAAATTATAACTTCTTACTTTAAAGTGAATTGGTCAACCATAGAAGGTCTGTTATACAATCAATTATAGCATTGATAGAATTTAGTAAATAAGACCATAAAATAATTATATTAGGATGTTATCAAATATTGTCAAGTATGAGATACATGATCCAATACTACGTACATTCATATAGCAGATTATAAAACATTCCAGAACAAAATATTGTTATTCACTATATAAAAGTTCATACCAAGTCAGTTTATGAACCTTTTTTTTCAAGCAATATTTTGCAATAATATCCAAATGACACTTTTCTATCATTTTTATCAATATTTGAAATACTTGTGGAAAATTTGCCCATTGTAGACTAATCAACTTTAAAAGATATTGTAGTAGATCTATGACAAAGTATAGTTTATACCCCCAAGTGAGATGCTTGGTTAATATTATGATTGACATGCACATACTATAACAAACAAACTAGCACAGGTAGATGTAGATGATAAAATGTGTGCCAGTTATTTTGCCTCTAACTCTCTATGCATTAACACAATGTAAAACTCTGTAACAGTAACTGTATAGATGTAAGGGATGTCTGCGGGAATTGATTTACCTTCAAGATTGATAAATATTTAATTATCTTAAACTGAGAAATGATAATTTTTGTTTCTGGTGAAAAAACAACAACAATGGATGAGGATATATCTTGATTGAAGACCTGTAAACCTCCTACTAATAATCTTCCAAGGATTTTCTAAAAACATTTTTTTTTTGTATACACTGTTGTTTCATTTTTAAGTTTAAGTGAAAGATTATTTTCAAGTTCATTGCACTTAATATTACTTAAAAGTACATGCTACAAAAAAACTACAAAAACGCCTAAAGCTTATTTATTTGTACATTTCTAGTTAGTAGGTGAGAAAGTAAAGCATGCCCTTGAAGCTGGTTTGCAGGTTATACCATGTATTGGTGAAAAATTAGAAGAGAGAGAGGCAGGAAAAACTGAAGAAGTTGTTTACAGACAAATGAAAGCGATTATAGGTATAAATTAATACATAATAGTAATTTTCTTCAGAAATAGATATGCTGTTTCTGAGAACAAAAAAAGGAATAAACAACACTATATCTGTTGTATTCATTTAGTGTTAATATAATTGATTATTTTGATGCAGTTTTGGGCATTTTTAGACAAACATTGCCAATTTAAAATGTAACGCCACACCACATTGCTCATGTTAAACCATCTGCACATTTTTAATCTTCACATGTCTTACATCATGAATAGGGGAGTCTGTGGCTGAGTGGTTCAAGGTTGTTGACTTCAAACCACTTGCCCTTCATCTCTGGGTTCGGGGGCGTCCATGGCCGAGTGGTTAGGGTCGTTGACTTCAAACTACTTGCCCCTCACCGCTGTGGGTTCGAATCCCGACAGGGACTTAGGATTCTTTCATGTGAGGAAGCTATCCAGCTAGCTTACGGACCGTCGGTGGTTCTACTCGGGTGCCCGTTCGTGCCTGAAATAATGCACGGAAGGGCACCTGAGGTCTTCCTCCACCAGTAAAGCTGGAACGTCGCGATATGACCTATACTGTGTCGATGTGACGTAAAACCAAACAAACAAAACAAAATCTCTGGGTTCGAATCCTGACAGGGACTTTGGGTTCTTACATGTGAGCAAGCTATCCAGCTAGCTTGCCGAATGACATTGGTTCTACTCAGGTGCTCGTTTGTGCCTGAAATAATGCACAGATGGACACCTGAGGTCTTCCTCCACCAGTAAAGCTGGAACATTGCCATATGACTGTACATATGCCTATACTGTGTTGAATGCACAGATGGACACCTGAGGTCTTCCTCCACCAGTAAAGCTGGAACATTGCCATATGACTGTACATATGCCTATACTGTGTTGAGTGTGATGTGATGTAAAAGCCAATCAAAGAAACATCAATGACTACATAAGTAAAAATGTAATGTTGTTTACTTTTATGCAAAAATGAAGAAAATTCTTTCTTACTATTTTATTGGACTTAAACAGTAAACAGGAAATGATTATTTTGCACTTGTATTAACATCTGTAAACTTCAAAAATTAGCCATACTATATTGTCATATTATCCAGGAATAATTGTAAGGTAACTGTCTATTGGTGAAGGGATGAAACTCTGGTGTAGTGCCGCTTAAATTTAGGAAAAATGAGCATTTCTGTGATCTGAATGGGCACGGTTAATGACTTTAATAGGTGATTGTTCTCTTGGGTTTCAAATCATACCACAGATGTTATCTTTAAACCAGCAGGTTACATGTGAGGCACTTGTGAAAGGTTGAAGGTTGTTATGAAGTACATGTACCTTACATTTACCTGAAATATTTTAACAAGTTTCATCTTTGACCTTCTTCACCATTATTTAAAATTCACAATATGATCTTGAAAGTGTTGGTTGGCGTGATTAAAAAAGAGTTTAAAAATAGGGCTTAGGGACCAACAAATAGTTTATGCCTAAGCTTTATGTCTATGATTTAATGCAAATGCTGAATAACAACAACACTTTTGTTACTTGTTTGTAAAAAATGTTCAGAAATGATTCCATGTTTCAAAGTTCATTTAGATGCTCTATTAAGAATTATGCAATAGTTTTGGTTTAGGTATCTAACATTATTTAGCAATGTAGGTGTAACAGTTTAGATAATGTAATTAGCGAACAAATATGATTACTCTGACTAAAAATAAAGAAATATAATATTTTAGTGTTTTGCTCATAAATATGTGTATGATGTTATATCAAAATGGTTTGACACAAAAGAACACTGGAGTCTTGTTTACTTGTTGGGTTTTTTGTTTGTTTCTTTCTTTTTTATTGCAAAAAGACCCAACCAAAACAATGTCATTAGGTTTTAAGTCAAAAGTCTAAAAAACACCAGGTTAAATGTCAATGTTTAAGGTCAAGGACTACAAAACAAATTTTTCCCGGCATATTATGGGTGAAGCTCTACAAAAATAGTGCTACCATGTTTAAGGGATACATCTTAATAATGTTAGATCAGGGTGTATAGATATATTGTGAAAAGAATAAAGTTTGAGGCAATGTCACAATGATGACTGTCATAGTGATTAGTCTACAAAAATAATTTAATAAGGTTGAAGGTCAAGGTCTATAAAGACATTTTCACTGGGTTAAAATTCTACAAAAGCAATGCCACAAGGTGTAAGGTCAAGGAGTACAAATTAATTTTCACCAAGTTAAAGGTCAAGGTTTAAGAAAACAATGTTGCAAGGGCTAGGTCTACAAAAAACAATGACACAAGGGCTAGGTCTTCAAATATAAGGTTAAAGGTCAAGGTGTTCAAAGACATTGATACAAGGTTGAAGGTCAAGTTTAAAAACAATGGTACAAGGTTGAAGGTCAAGGTCTTCAAATACATGGCCATCAGGTTGAATGTCAACCTTTACAACAAATTATTCACATCTTACTACAAACAAAGTTAATTGTTAGAAGTACACCATGCTTGTTGTAATGTTGTACATGTAATATAACTACAGCTAAAATGTATTATGATGTGCTCAATTACCAAAAGGTAGGTGAAGGATACGGTGTGATAATCTTAAACTTGCATTGACAAAGTTCCCTTATGCATTTCCTTATTATATATATCATATAACCTTTTCAGTAACATGTCTGTGAAACATGAAAATCTTATTTCCATGTTCTTTCACATGTGTTATGAGGTGTGGGCAAGCATGTTCTCTTACAGTAATAGTTTACTAATTTGTCTATTTATCTAAGATTATTTGGTAAAAGTACAGAAGGTCTATAATTCGACTAAGGTGCTTGCTTGTGCCTTAAAAATAATGCACAGAGGGGCACTTGAGATTTTCTTCAACAAGACAGCTGGTAAGACACCAAACAAGAAAATAATATATGGCAAAGTAATTATCAAATGAAGATCATGAAGTAATTCACATGTTAACTTGATTCAGTTTTGACTGATATGGTTAAGCTATACTTGTACTGATAATGATAATAGTTGTCTATGACCATTATACATATATATAGTACATGTTAATGTGTTGGGTTTATATTTTCAGGTAATGTAACAGATTGGAGCAGGGTAGTTATAGCTTATGAACCAGTGTGGGCAATAGGTACTGGTAAAACAGCCACCCCGGAACAAGCCCAAGAGGTGCATGACAAACTTAGAAAATGGCTGTCAGCTAATGTAACAGCCGATGTAGCTAATAGTGTTAGAATTATATACGGAGGTAGGTTTATTCCAGAGATATAAAAACTCTTTATTTTTGTAATTTATTTCCTTTAGTAATACAGTTAAGTTTAAAGTAGGTCAAGTTAATTGTACAAAATAACGGGAGAAAACGTATTCTATACACAGTTCAGAAAGGTTCTGAGTGATTTTTGTTCTCTTTTTTTTTCTTTATAAACTTTTGGAAAGGATTTTGGTGCCATGTGAATGTGGAAGAAATCTCAAGTGTGATGGCAAAATTAGGATATCTTTAAAAATAACACATCATGCTTTGGTTTTATTATTGGGTCCTGGCTTGAAATAAATTTACTGTGGCTGTAAAAAAATTTTTTTAGCTTGATATTTGAAGGAAACAGGGAGCTCTCGTTCTTGATAAATTTCAGAATTTGTACAACACTTAAAGATTTTGCATGCAACCTCTTGTCTTTTGAATGAGCTAAGATATTCATATGAAAACAAATGTTTTGTAATTTTTGGGTAATTGATAAAGATATATAATAGTTAACCCTTACAAAAATTGTTGCGATCATTTGCTTTACAATTTCAACTCAGCAACCATTGAAGATACTTGTATTAAGTTTACAATTGTGTTTGAAGGCACTAACTAAGACTCTGTAACGCTAGCATATATATTTTCTGAATTATTGTAACTTGTATGCAAAAAAAAAAAAGAATTTTTGTTCAAAATGAAGGATTGGGCATCTTAAATTTGTAGAATGTACAATTATATTCTACATTCTGTCATTCTACATTCGGGTAAGGTGAGCAACAGTTTCAAATTCGAAATTCCTTTCACAAAAAACTACATTTTGTTTCGAAAATAAATAAGCCGAAATGTAAATGAACGAAAAAAATTCTGTTTTCGAAACTTCCAAAAAAGACTAGAACGTGATCTCGACTACAAAATAAGTAACAGAATGGCGAGCAAAGGCAAAATAACCTATATATAGGTAATTAAACAACCTATCAAAATCAATAACAGAAATTTGAATTAATCCAATCAGAAATCTAAAAAATAAACCGTTGACCAACGAGATAAGCTGATATAACCAGAGGTCAACTCGAATCAAATAAAAACTTTTATCATTCACAAGAATTAATCGATTTTAACAGGTGTATTAAAATACTATTAAATTTGTAGAATGTACAATTATATTCTACATTCTGTCATTGTAATAACTTACTGAAGTATAGGCACATCTTATTATATGATATTTCACTTGACTATTTACATCTTCAGGGCATAATATTATGCACTTTAATGATTAAACTATTTTATTTGTTTTTTCAGGATCTGTGAGTGCTGGTAATTGTAAAGACCTTGGAACAAAGCCTGACATTGATGGTTTCTTAGTGGGCGGAGCCTCATTGAAACCAGACTTTATTACAATTGTTAAAGCTAGGTCATGAATGAACATTGCAATGAAATTGTAGACATTTTAAAATTTTAGTTTACACACATAGTAGAAAAGAAGGCAATCAACACCTTACACCTATACATCAGATTCTAGGAAGTTTTGTAAACCAGTCTTGACATGCATGTATGCCATTGGTTTATTTTAAATTTGTTATTCTGACGGCCAATCAGATTCTGTTGTTTTAGACTGGTTTACAATTAACACTTTTGACAGTAGTCAGTGTGATATGTAAAAGATCTTGTTGTAAAAATTTCACAAATATAAAAAATAAACGCCAACATGATAATATTTAAGATATAACAGTAAGGTGTTTTTGTTTAATTTTTGGATTTGTGTTTTATGCTAGAAGAACATTTATCTGGGACTTCTCTAGAATAGTGTGGTCATTTAGACAAAATCAGCAGTGATATCAATATGCTGAATCTCAGTCATCTCCCTGTGCTTCTGTTTTTATTTCAATAAAAACATATTTATTCATACCTTAGTTGTAGTTTTTCCCTCGCCAGGGACTTTGGGTTCTTTCATGTGAGGAAGCTATCCAGCAAGCTTACGGACCTCCTTAAAGAGGCACAAATTAATTCGTTTCTGAGGCATAATGTGCCTTTAAACAACATTTCGGAAAATACTTCATAAATAAATATATGACCAAACTTCACAGGAATGATCCTTAGGTGTCCCTCTACAAAAGAGATATAAATGGTTCCACTCTAATGCATTAATAAGTCAGGGGAGCTAAAGATATACTTTGAAAATAAAATCTTTTAAGAAACTACAATCACCAGAAATTTAAAATTTTGCATGCAGCATCACTTTGTGGTCTTTTACAAAAATTAAATTAATTATGCACCAAATGTCAAGATTGCCTGTACCTTTGGGCTACTTAGTTTATACAATCTTAATAGAAAATCTTTGTATGGAATTATAATGTCCAGAATTTGGCATATGCTTTGTGGTCCTTTACAAAAAAGGCATAAATCATGCCCTGGGCCAAAAAATTTCCAGTATTGGTGTCTTTTAGTCACTTAGTATGTTTAAATGGACATGCATTGTGAAACACATAAAGTCTTGCGTTAATGACAATGCCCTGAGACTTGATATATGTCAGGCTGTATTTCCTACGGGCATCGGCAAATGTTTTAAAAAATCACGCAGTTAAGTTCAACAGAAGCCACTTACTGGCAGGTGCCACGCTCGACTTTTTCTTATTTCTAAAATCAAACGCATCACAGGAAGAATATCATAGTAAAGAGAATGAACTGCAGCAAAGATTCAATACAAAATAATCATTTAGTTTTGATCGCAATGTTATGTTACACCAGTACAGATACACAGCTATGTTTTCCAAGCTGAGCCTATGATTTCGGCAGTTTTTAACTTGACTCCCTTTAAAACTAGAATGGACTGTCACAATTGTTCCTCATTCAAGATACGTTGGTTCTATGAGACATTTAAGTCAACACACTTAAATGTCATGACCAAAAAGGAAATAAGAATCTGTGTTCGAAATAATCGGATATAAATTTCAAGTGTTCAAATAATGATATACATGTACATACGACCGATAAAAGAATGGAGACATAAATACTGAAGTATACTTTTATTATATTTTTCTTTAAATTTCATAGTACTGAGTATATAATAATTGTATAAAGATATCAGGTTAACAAATGCTTAAGGCGCCCTATGTCAAATTTAAATTAAAGTAAATAACAATTACAGCTTATCAAGACCAGCTTGAAATGCATTTTTTTTTTCAATATAAACAAATATTTCAATAAAACAAACACAATGTAAATATAACAATGATATACAAAAGATACACCTCCCGTATTTTTTACTCAAATACAATTTATGTACAATTATGACCGTATAGTGCACTGTAAATAATGACCTTTGAAATTCAAAGACTTCTGCAATAATTTAATTTTGCGATAAAAATATACGTAACTTTGCTTAGTCCAAAATCACATTTATATAAGCTTAATAAGAAAATTTCAACGTAATTTTTTTTCAGTTTATTATTATTGCTAATACAAATCAAGTTTTATTTTCCTAAACATCTCATTATTATTGTGATTTATATGCTATTTTACATGACCCTTGATTGTTCTATTCTATTCAATATACGTAATATGAAAAAGTAAATTGTAACATATATACAGGTAGTACGTATACAAGTAAAGATATTATTTGAACTCGTGTGAATATATATGTCACAGTGAAGCATGCACTTTGTATGATCCACATCTCTCTCACTAGAGCATCTGTCTAAAATGTATCTGCAAACAACATTTGCACATAACTCTGTACGTTACTTTGTACAAACCGAAGGGTAATGTTATATAGGTTATTCAGACATGTGCTTTAAACAAATAGCCATAACATCTACATAGCCTACTACTACACTTAGAATTGTTACACATGTGATTCAATAAGGAAGTATATATACTATATAAAATGTGTCCTACAAACCTATTTAACAAATTAATACGCTCGTATAATACACATTACACATTACATATATATTTTGTTTTTTATTTTTGAATTGCAATTTCAAATATAAAACAGAATTTTGCTTGCAGGATTGTTTATACATGTATATAAAAACAGTAGACAAGTCACGTGACACGTAGATTGCACGAATATAAAGTACTATCATTTATAGTAGAATGTAGAATATAATTGATAATGCATCGTAATATATTGTATAATGAAGATGTGCTATGTATAAGTCATTTTTTCTCTATTCTATTCTAATATGAAGAAATGATATGTATTATTTGCTTAGTGAAGAATGAAATATTTTATAATTAGGAAATAGATATTAATTCTGAGTGCATTGTTGTAGAATAATGCACGGTTTGAGTTCAAATACGTAGCAATATAATCACGAAGGCCTTAGGCCTAAGTGATTAACTACAAAGCATTTGAACGAAAATCCATTTTTCTTTTCTTTTTTTTTTCAGAAATGACATCATGTAAAAATCAGGGAAAAATGGAATAATATGCAATTTAACACATCATAAAATTTATAAAGCTGCATTAATTAAGTGCTACAATATTGTGACCGTTTTGTACTTCTTCATATTTTCAAAGATTGTAAAAGTTGTCATAAATTAATGTTATGAAATCATTTTCCAATTCAGTGAGATTTTTTCCGAATAAAGCACGATATACTCGTATTTCCTGACCTAATCAGCGTATAATCTTGTTCTAGTAAGATAATTATAGGAGTATCTTAATCTGGAACTTGTTTATGACTCTGGTGGTAGTGCCACGTGCCCTATGTGATCCGTTCTAGTAAAATTCACGTGAGCCAAAATCTAGTAATAGATAAAATATATTCTTGTACAAGTATATATCAAAGGCCCATTATGCCATAGAAAAATAGAAATGCCCCAATTTTGATTTCTTAAAAACTTTCTATATGTGGTATCCTGTTAAAGTTTCCAAAAAATACTCATTTACCATTATACATAATCTATCTTTTGCTTTATTTTGCAAATGGTATATTAGTGAATTAGTATTTTCTATGGAAGTCAAAATACTACTTTGTATACATTGTGCTACCTGTACGACACATCACTGCATGTTCAGCGCTACTTGTTTCAGTTGTTGGGTATCTACATTCTCTTAATCCATTTTTAAAATATTTATCAAACACATGTTTTGGCATTTCTAAAGAATACACAAAAAAATATAGATTTTTGAGGCATAGTGTGTCTATACCAATTATAATTTAATTTTTACCATTTGATAAAGTGAAACACAATGCACGTATTCTCTAAGGGTAAAAGTACAGTAACTTTCTAGGTCATGGACAGTATTTATTTTCCCTTGTCATTTAATTACCAACCTCTATATTTGCAACCTCTTTGTGACAAAGCATTTTCTGTGTGAGTACATGGTCAATTAATCACTGCTGTAATTCATTACTGACCAGTACAGGTTGAAAACATAATAATTACCTAGCAATTTACTTAACAATTTTCTGTATAACTTTGTCTAAACACGGGAGACAAGTGTGAACACATATATTTTACAAACGATGTATCAGCACAACTTGCATGACTTGCAGTATAAATGGCATGTACGTTTAGGGAAAGGTATACTTTCATCAACAAATACGCAAGTGTGATAGTTATTATCAAATTAGGCAAGAGCTGCCGTGAAGGTAAATAAATTTACATAGCTATATCATATGAACAGAACTAATTTAGCATAACAAGTTAAATGTCGAAAACTGGTGAGAGGGAAGAAAAATTGGCCATGTTATAGATGTGTTACATCATTTATACAAGGTGTTTAAGCTTAAAGTATGTATATAACTCCCACGTTTTGTCTTAAAACATCTTTCATTCATCTTGAATAACACAATACCCTGTTTCACAATTAATGAGCTCCAAGTTGATATGCATTTTCCAGCACCTTTCTTCAACGTGTGTATGACGTGTCCGTTCATATTCTCTCTCTGGTAACGTAATTTAATCTCAGTTTACGGTTACAACAACTCGGGAGTCAACTGATGTTTGTTGGTTTTTTGTTGTTTTATTTTCTTTTTGTTATTTGTTTTTTAGAAGTTTCGTTAATTTTTTCGTCGTTGTTGAGGGTAGACAGAATTTTTTCAGTCAGGCAATGTTGTTGATATTGGTCCGACGTTGCTGCGGCATATTTATTGCTTGTTTAAATAAATGGTTATCAACCACCATGTTGTCGATCCAGTATATACATGTATATTGTGCCATATATGTCCGTTGGTAAAGACAACTTTTTAGAACGTATAACAGGAAATGTTCATATGTTAATAAGCACTCTAAAATAAAGTTTTTAAATTCATATGGAAAGGGTTCTTTCATCAAATATCTGTTTGGCTGTAATAACGACAGAGGGCGCTGGTGTTTCTGTTTCCGTTCTAATGAGGTCGTTGCTACAGTATCGCACTATGCATGATGAACGATTTTGTTGTGTCGACATAAATTGCACAGCATGTCCACGAGACCCAGCTCGTAAATGTGTCCAGTAGGCATTGTTTCCACCAAGTGGCTCACTCTCAATACCACCTGAAAAATAGTAGCACAATATATGATTAACTAGTGAGCTCTGCTCGGGTTTACGCTCGTTCTTAAAATAAATGCACGCAGGGGCACCACCGTCAAGGCCGGAAAGTCGCCGTAATACCGACAACCCAAAAAAAAACTGTATCAACATAAAATATGTTTTTTATAGCCCGTGTAAATTAGAATCGCATACGCCCCCATCAAAAGAAATTTCAGAGTGTAAAATGGCTGATGAATAGTTTATTCACCGAAATTTTAATGTTTGTGGTTAGAAAATCACATACTATAAATGTACCTTTAATGTAAATTAAATGTTTACATTTTACCTACTTATTAACGCACGACTTTGTGGTTTATACTTGTGTTTTAATTAAATGTCCTAATCTGAACTATATATCCTACTTATTAACGCACGAAATT